TAATGCAAAATATATGATGTTTATATTCAAAATGATCATCAAATTATAAGAATTCCAGCAATGTAAATTATATTCTGACCAGGTAATTTGTATGAATTTTATGAGCTAAAACAAATATCTTCAGTTAATAAAAAAAAAAAAATTCTTCACACGGTAACAGATGGTCGGTCGCCGGTCCCTCCCTCCCTCCCCCCCACCAACGTCCCTACTAGATAAATGTGTGGGAATACCAGACTGTTTACCTTTTTAGTAATAAATAATAAATCAGACTAAAGTTAGGATAATATAATTGACATTGCTGGATTCCTTGTAAGACCAGGAATATTTTGAATATAAATATCATATATTTTGCACAAAAGATAACATATTTACTCAAGAGTAAACATTATATCTAAAATTTGTATGTCTAATGCAAAATCTATGATGTTTATATTCAAAATGATCATCCAATTGTAAGAATTCCAGCAATGTAAATTATATTCTGGCCGGATAATTTGTATGAATTTTATGAGCTAAATAAAAAAATTATACTTCACCGTGTAAAGGGGTACACCCACCGCGGAATGTGAGCATCCTGGGTTCTGGCAGGGCACCGCGTAAACGTGGAAACGCGGAATGTGGGACCGCGTAAAGTGAGGGTTGACTGTACACTTGCCTAGTCCATTTCTCCATATGATTCCCTGCCAAATGTCAGCATCTCTGCCAACTCTGACATTGAAGTCACCGAGGAGCACAACCTTATCTTCTCTGGGGATAGAGGTTAGCACTCTGCCAAGGTCGGCATAAAAGGCCTCCTTGATGTCATCCTCTGCATCCAGTGTTGGGGTATATGCACTGATGAAAAAAGCATGACGTGAGTGATTCAGTAGGACGTGCAGCATCATGAGGTATTCGTCGATCCCAATAGGCATTTCAGTTAGCATTTGTAGGTGCGTTGGTGGATGGCAAAGCCAACTCCATAAATGCGATTTCTATCCGCAGCAGGCTTACCCCTCCAGAAGAAGGTATAGCCAGACCCCCGTTCTGTGAGTTGACCCTTGTCTGGGAGCCGGGACTCGCTGATGGCTACTATGTCAATGTTATACCTAGCCAGCTCTTTAGCCACAAGGGCATTTCTTCTTTCAGGATGCTCATTTTTGTCAGTACTGTATCCAGAAGGGTCCTGACATTCCATGCAGCTACCATAAGAGGCTGTATACTTTGTTTTTGTTTAGAAATTTGATTTTGATTGTTTTTTCAACCACATAAGGATGTCCTTACTGGGTGCGGTTGCCCAGTCAGGTTGATTCTTTTAGGCAGGCTATGTTGAGGGCATCTTTTCTAGCCCCCTCCCCATGTGGGGTGAGCAGAGTGGCTCCTCAAAAGGACTGCTCAGTCGCACAGACAAGTCCGGATTGCACTGCTGTCCAGTTCCCAGTGCATAAACGACCATCTTATCTATGCCACCCATGTGCAGAGCTGTGACCAGTAACTCTGGCAGTCACCTCTGCCTGTCTCCATTACCACTTGTCTGTTGCCATAAGACTTTTGGGGGAATTGGGGTTTTGATGATGATGAGAGGTATGATGAGCTGGATGATGGCTGCACGTGAGTTGATTTATGTGGTGAGGCATGAGCTCAGGCTGCAAGCACATGTCTTGTTTTTCCCTTTTCCTGATCCAATGGTGCAAGTGTTGCAATGACTGGGGAGAGGGAGAGTTACAATGGACTGCCAATAGCCCAGTTTGTTGGGTTTCATCTTAGTAACCTGTCCATCAGGTATTGCCTTCGTCCGCCGGTGTAGTCGTTGGGTTCCCATGGTTGTCACCTCTTCCTCTTAAACCACCGTTGGGGTCTTTTTGGAGCTCTGTAAGCATGTCTGCCTGCTGCGGGGCTCCACCGTAGATTTTTCGAAGTCTTATACCTACCAAGGTTAATCCGCAAGGCAGCGGGGCAGTGATTGGTAGGCGCCAGGACGCGTCCACATGCCAGTGGGCCTCTGCGCCATCCTTCTGGGGCCCACGGCAACTCCGAGATCCCCTGCTGGTCTAGCTTGGGCTCCCAAGGCACCCAGTTACCCAGTTACCGTGTGTTGCCACGAGGAGGCACAGCAGGAGTCTTGATGGTGAAGAGGCTGTGTACTGACTGGGGAACACACACACACACACACACACACACACACGGGAATTAAGACAACAAGAATCCAGTGAGGGTCTTGTTGTGTGACTACATGGAGGCAAATTAAGATATCAACTGTTGAAGAGCTTATTGCTTTGCAACACTAGTGCATGTTACCACTCCTTTCCACTTCATCTCTCTAATCACCCACACCTTTCTGCTTTCTCACTCCATATTCTAAAATGTTATGTTATGTAATGTTGAAGGGATACAGCTTTGCTCAAAGTTAGGGGGTCGTCTAAATCACCAAGTATAAAATTCTTACCTCTTAAATATTGTGGTTTAGTGTGTCAAGAGTGGTGATGGAAACATCGTAAGCCACTCACAAGGTCTTACCACTAATTATTTTATACTGAAACTTACGTTTGGCAAGCTGGATTCAAATTAAGATTACCGGTATATTAAAATAATAAAAATGTATTATAAACCTGTCTAACATACCGTAAAAGAGAATTATACCCCTGTAATAAACACAGCTATCATCACACACCCCTCCCCACGCCCCCCCCATTTGCCAGTGAGGAGACAAGAAAGGGAAAGTGACCGCGAGATTGGGCTATTTTTAGCCGTGGAGGTGGTCAGTAATGCATATCGGTATATTTACTGATAATAATACTTATCTCCTATAAATAATTAATTTAAAATTTATTTTTTTACAAGGAATATTCAGTAAATGACTGCATTAATTCTTGAAACTACTGACAGTTAAATACAGACGCTTAAGTGACGTCACTAGTGTTTACACTACACCAGCTGGTAACATTTGATGCCATTACTTGAAGTGAATTGGCCTTATTTTAAGTAACTAACCATAAATAAATACAAAAAGTAAAAAAAAGATCAAAAGTGAGAAATAATATACTGTATGTATGTTGTGTTGTCAAAGTTAGAGGAACAATTCAAACTGCAATTGTGTGTAAATGAGGCAGAAAGTCAGGTCAGCGCTGAACCTGGGACTTGGTCACAATTTTCGTGATGCCATATGGCAGCAGGGTCTACCATTAGACAACACATTATGCTTCCAATATCTTCCCAGGCGGTAGTATCTACCTGTTTGGTAGCTGCCTACTACCTACACAATTTTTAGTAATATTACTTTGATACATGATAAATTAGACAAACAATGAAAATAAACATCAAATTTAATTACCAAGACGCTTCCCATTGGCAGCTGTAAGAAGAGGGGGAGATGGGCTATTTTTATCCCGTCTTTGTGTCTGAAGTGGCCAGTAATACCATATATTTACTGATCATAATACTTATCTCCTATAAATAATTAATTTAAAATTTATTTTTTACATAGAATATTCAGTAAATGACTTTTAAATAAATAAACAAATAATTCGGTAAATCTATTTCAAGTAAATGGAAAATAAGCAAACAAATGTTATTTACCACCACCCTTCCCTCTGGCTCAGGGTGAGATGGAGGGGAGATAAAGAAGGCTATTTATAGCCCGTCTTTGTGTCTGAAGTGACCAGTACCCTAATGCACCATAAATAATTCATTTAACATTTATTTTTTGTACATATATGTATGTATATATATATATATATATATATATATATATATATATATATATATATATATATATATATATATATATATATATATATATATATATATATATATATATATATATATATATATATATACCCGCCTAACGCGGTTTCACTTACAGCGTTTATCATATACGCGGTGCCTCGCCAGATGAACTTTCACTTAACACGGATTTTTCCACATATACGCGGTGAGTGTCCGGCAGAATGCTATTTTTAGATTTGCCCACCTGCCTGACTGCCTGTTTTAGCTCATAAAATTCATACAAATTCCAGCCAGAATATAATTTACATTGCTGGAATTCTTATAATTTGATCATTTTGAATATAAACATCATATATTTTGCATTAGACATACAAATCTTAGATAAAAATTTTTCTCAGAATAACTATGTTATCTTTTGTGCAAAATATATGACATTTATATTCAAAATATTCCCTGGTCTTACAAAGGAATCCACATGTCAATTATATTATCCTAACTTTAGTTTGAGGTATTATTTATTAAAATTTAGTGGTTATCCCACACATCTCCTTGGGACGTTGGTGGGGGTGAGAGCAGAGGACCGACCGACCATCTGTTACCCGTGAAGAATTATTTTTTTTTATTAACTGAGATATTTGTTTAGCTCATAAAATTCATACAAATTCCAGTCTGAATATAAT